CACAAGAACAAAGTGAATCTACAGCGTGGACAGTGTGAGTCCTGAGTTGAATCCAACAGAACGTCTTTGTTGTATTTTAAAGAGAAAGGTAGAGCAACACAACCCCTTCAGCAAAAAGCAGCTGGGAAAAACAAAATAGTCTGTGAGTAACAGTAGAATATCTCTCCAGAAACTTCTCCACGAGTCTGGAAAAGTCAAGTAAAAGTTTGAATCTCAGGATCGACTTTTGTTGCTCTGACTTCCTGCAGTTTGTATATTTAATACAGTGAATACTAACTGTTAGTTTTTCATTTAACATGAGGCAAGTGCTCTGCTGTTCTACGTGGAAGTAATCTGATTACTGCGAGGTGACACGATTTAGCACCACTTGACACCTCGGTGATATTGCACACACGGGGGTAAACTCACTCCTCGACACATAAATAATCACCATCGTTGGTGCGTTCTGCTCTGAACACATGTCGCCTCCTTCAGTATTATTTCAGCCTCGGCTCTCGGTGGAACGTGTCAGCGATGATGGATGCCTCTCACGAGTAAACACCAGACACAAAAGGTGCATTTGTGTTGTGCTGTATTCGAGGCCTGGCAGCTACAGAAAAAGAAGTGAGAGAGGAGGGGGAGAAAAGAAAAAAAAAAAAAAAGAGGTATATTAGCAGGGCTGTCATGTAGCGAGCTGTGGGATATATTACAGCTAGAAGCAGTTTTAAAACAAGTTGGGGCCCTGCCAAGAAAGTCTCAGAGCAATATCTTGAGCCATATGGATGAGGGAGTGTGTTCTGCTCGAGCTGCCACCGGCCCCTCCGACAATATTTAATATTGTATAGCTGGAACCTGCTGGGAAATCATGTCCAGGACGTCTGTGGGGCTTAAATGAAACCCCGAGTACGAGCAGCAACTGTTGAAACACTCACAAGCCGTGGATCTACATTCGTTTGTTCCACTTAACATGGCAGCTGTCTGCCATTCTATAATTCTGGGGGACAATCCCATAAAAGATGCGACTTAATTTGGGTTATTTGTTAATGAAAAAATAGAAATAATGGCGTATTATGGTGCACAGAGCAGCCTGCGTGAACAGAATAGTCCCATTCATAATATTTTAGTGTTATTTTAATGTGTTGCTCACATTTCTCACAGCTTCACCGAGCTGAGCGGTGCAACGCTGCCACCGTCCGGCCAAAACAGGGAACTACATTCACAAAATTACACATTTAACTACAACAACACAGACATCTGACGTGTTCTATATAATGTTTTAGCCCCATTAGACGCGAGATTAAATCTAATTTTTAATGTTGTAAATGAATAAATAAATAAAAATCAGCAGGCGGAACCTTTTCCTCTACCGGAAGTAGTGTCATATTTGGGTGACACCAGCGACCAGAGCTTCCTGTCGGAGAGTCCTTGGAGCTCGTCGAGCGGCTTTTCGGTCATGTTTAGGAATGCTCTGAGCAGACTGGTGACAGAGACGGTTCGCCCCCGCCGGTATGTGACTCCCGGGCCGGTCGTCCAGCGGCTGCCTCCCTCCTCCGCTCCGGCGCGGAGCTTCACCGACGCCAAGGACGAAGCGCGGCCGCCTTTCGACGCCTCGCTGCTGGACTTCCTGGTCTGTCCGCTGTCCAAGAAGCCGCTCAGGTGACGGAAACAAACAAACAAAACTCAGTGGAAAAATTGGTTTTTAGGTTGAAATATTCACCCAGTAATGTCTGGATGCTCCCTGTGGTTAGTTAATTTAATTTAATTTTAATTTATATGTGTCTGTTTGAGGGGGACAAACATTCAAAGCTTCCTGCTATCAACAAAACATGTTTAGTACTGAAGCTACATCCCAAATAAGAGGACTATTTTACATTTAGACATATTTAACAGTAACACATTAGAAAACAAAACCCTCTAAATCGGTCAGATGAACCTCCACATCCGGGTCATTCCATGTCAACCCCACCAGGGGGTCCCAGGTCACCCTCTCAGATTCCTCTGAAAAATATCACAGACGCTCCTTTTCCAAAGTTATGGAGAAATCCCAAATATTAGGTCTTTAGCTGTAATAGTTTTGAAGTTACAGCCCTTTGAAATTTTGGTTAATCTTACGCGTTTTGGCCTCTGGGACCATCTTTGGACGTGAATAACTCAGACAGCATCGCATACTGAGCGCTGAAAATGGTCATCCTGGAATAACTTTTCCCGCAGAATCCAAAAATGGTGTCAGATCTGGCGTATTGTCTTTATTAGTCTTCCTACAAGGCTCTAAAAATGGCCAGTTGTTAAAAAGAAAAAGACACCCTCTGTTAAGGTTCCTCATTTGAGAATAGATGAAGAGTTTACGAGGTGTTGGACCATGTTTATGCAGGAACCATGAACTTCAGTGCTGGGAGAGTTTCATGAATACATTTTTGAGATGTGCTAGATGTTGAGATTTCATAGATTTTGCCCATGTTTTGACCATGTTCACCATCATTTTCATATTTTGACCGTGTGTTCCAATCTGAAGATGATCCGACCTGAATGTGGTTCTGTTGCGGAGCCTCCTTTTTTATATCTGGTGTATGCTGAAGATGGTATGAGTGCAGCAGATACAGTCAGCCAGACTACTGCCAGATGCAGAAGGTTCATTATAAACTGAAAACACTGATTATCTGCAGTTTGAATATTTTTATAGTCTCTTTTTTTCAGTCGTGAATTTTTCAAATAAGTCTTAAAAGTTTTAAATTCTTGAAAGTTTGCAGAAATTGGTTGGTTTCATGTGGAATGACCCATAAACTCAGTAATTTATATATCATAGGGTTATAGCTGTATTATTACGCTACATAGGTCAACTTGTATAATTGATGACTATGTAGGATCTTGTACAGATGTACTGTAGTCAAGTGAAGTAGTTTTTTTTAGGTTTTTGACCCTAAAATGTAAATTCATCCGGTATATTCACTCAGTGGTTGTAGATGTCTGGACAGTTTTATCTTGTTATATGTTATGTTTGGGATCTCTATTTTCTTTCATTATTAGTTTTGTTGTAAAGCACTTTGTGACCTTGTTTTGTGTTTGTGATATTAAATATATAATAATATAACTTTTGTGGTCGCACAGTTTAACATGATGAAGCAGAAATCCTGTCGGTGCATTCAGACAGTCAGACAGTTTTCTAAAGTACTGAAGATAATGTCCAAATAGAAACGTCTAGCAGAAAAAAAAATAGTATGTGCAAGTGTATCCATGGAAACACTGGGATAGAATATCCTTTTTTTATTCTAATTAAGTTATTGTTATTATTATTATTATTATTATTAATGATAATAATAATAATAATAATCTAAATGAATGAGTGAGTAAAATATGTTCAGAGTTTTCAGTGTCACAAACTGTACCTTGCTAGGTCACCATGGTAACCGATGCGGCACAGCTAGATCACCATGGTAACCAATGCTGCGCAGCCAGGTCACCACGGTAACCAATGCCATGGAGCTAGATCACCACGACAACCGATGCTGCGCAGCTAGATCACCATGGTAACAGATGCTGTGCAGCTAGATCACCATGGTAACAGATGCTGTGCAGCTAGATCACCACGACAACCGATGCTGCGCAGCTAGATCACCATGGTAGCTGATGCTGTGCAGCTAGATCACCATGGTAACAGATGCTGCGCAGCTAGATCACCATGGTAGCTGATGCTGCATAGCTAGATCACCATGGTAACAGATGCTGCGCAGCTAGATCACCATGGTAGCTGATGCTGCATAGCTAGATCACCATGGTAACTGATGCTGTGCAGCTAGATCACCACGACAACCGATGCTGCGCAGCTAGATCACCATTGTAACTGATGCTGCATAGCCAACCATTGTCTGTTATTAATCAACTAGTTGAGCTGGTTTAACCAAAACCCAAACATGGTTTACTGTCACAGAGGAGAGAAACCAGAAAATGTTCACATTTGAGACGCTGCAATCACAGAATATAGATTATTAAAATTTCTTCAGAAAATTCCTCAGATCAATTAATAAATTGTCAAAGTCGTTGACGTTCAGAGACGCTTCATCCAGATTCACACTGAAGTTTGCTTTCAGCCATGAAGGGAACCGTTCAGGGAAACTTTGCTGAGATCGCGTCTTTAAACCTGCTGTGAGGTGTTTCAGGTAAAGTCTGACTGCTGCACTGAAACCCACCGTCACACGTCTAACAACTTTACTCTGCAGGTACAACGCCGCAACCAACGAGCTGATCAACGAGGAGCTCGGCATCGCGTACTCCATCATCGACGGCATCCCCAACATGATCCCTCAGGAGGCCCGGCTCATCCAGAAGGACTCTCCGGACGCACCGACGCAGTAACGCCACGAACTCACGCAAACTTTAACGCGACCGACCGGCAACAAGTTTCGCCAAAAGCGCGCAAACATCCGACCCGAACTCAGCAGACATGTTCTCCCTGTCGGTGATGGTGGGCCTGGTTCCCATCGTGTCGCTCTGCGGCCTGTTCTACTCGGCGGCGGTGGACGAGAACTTCCCCCAGGGCTGCACCAGCAGCAGCAGCCTGTGCTTCTACAGCCTGCTGCTGCCCGTCACCATCCCCGTGTACGTCTTCTTCCACCTGTGGAGCTGGATGGGCATCAAGCTGTTCAGACACAACTGAGCCGCTCACGTTTAGCCGCTGCTGCTGCTTCCATGGACGGTTCCACGTGTTTCCAGCACTGATGAGATAAATAATTGGCAGATTTTAGCTGCTGCGTGGAATAGCTGGAGCTAACATGAAGATGATGCTAACATCCGCTAGCTGTGTGTGTCACATAGAAAGTAGCACATTTCTATATTTTCATGGAGAGTAAACTAATAAAGCTCAATAACAAACCCCCAGAACTCTCACTTCTTTATAATAAATACACTTTTTATTGATAAAACACTGTGTTTCACACAGAACAGGCAAAGACATGAACCGCAACCTCACCGAGTTCTGAACTTTGAGGAAAACATGGATGTTTAAAGGAGCAGTTTTTAGATTAATTCAAACCTCAGCAAATAAAACATGACAAAATGTAAACTATTCACAAGAAAGCGTCGGAACATGAGTGTTTTTTCATCACAGGAATTAATTTTAGGTAAGAGAAGATGCATCATAACGACCCACCAGGTTTAACATCACACCTGTCCAGGTAAACACCTTAAAAAAAAACCCTTAACTCTGAACAAAGTTCCCCTAAAACCTCCTCAGAACATCTGGTTCTGTATCTGCAGTAACTTTATCTCATGATCTACCTTCAGACTGTGAATGTTCCAGAGTTCCAGGTCCTTGAAGTCCACAGAAGAGGCTCCAGATTGATCACTTTAATGAACTTTTTCCATCATTTCTGAAAACGCTGAAAATTTGTGTCATTGTCGATCATTTTTTAGTAACTTTTGGACAAATTGTGAGTCGTTTGGGATAGTTTTGACTAATTTTGGATGATTTTTGTGTAACTTTGGACGGCTTTTGAGTCATTAATAATATTTTGACCTTAATTGTCCAAAAATTGACAGAAAATGATCCAAGATGTGTCCAAAACTGACATAAAGTTGTCCTGAATTGTCCTTAAATGATCTTGGACACATTTTGAGTCATTTTGAACTGCTTTTGAAGAATGTTTTCAGTCATTCTGAATACAATTAGAATCATTTCAGAAAGCTTTTGAATAACTTTGGACCATTTAAAAACTAAATAAATAAAAATAATACATTTTGGACAGTTTTTGACTGATCTTGGAGACAATTTGGATAATTTTGGACAATTTTTAGTCGTTTCACTCAGATGTGTTCTTCCTCCTAAATGTCATGTGTCCATCTGCTGAACTGATGAAGTTCTGAGGCTCAGAAATGATGGAAAAAGTCCATTAAAGTGATCAATCTGGACCCTCCTCTGTGGACTTCAAGGACCTGGACCTCTGGAACATTCACAGTCTGAAGGTAGAACTCTCAGATTTTTACTGAAGCTCCTTAAACGCTGCTGAACTAAACTTCCAGACGTTTTGTTGCATCTGGTAGAAACAGTAAAGGAGCTGCAGCTTCCTGTCCAGAAGCTCTCCGGTTTCCTGCCGACCTCAGTGGACCTTCCGGTGTTTGGCGCCTCGGCCCAGATCCAGCTTCATCAGCGGCGACTCGGGCCTCGGCGAGCCTCCGTCGCCTTTGGGCCTGAAGAAGAACGACTCGTTGAGCCTCATCTGAATCGCTCGGACCTGGAAGAGACGCAGGATCACGAACGGTTTGCAAATCATTCTGATGAACAACTTTTCTTGTTGCATGTTCACCTGATAAACTCCCAGATTCAGTCGCTAAATGCTGCACGACAGAGACGCCGAAACGAGAAACTCTGGACTTTGAATTTCTCAAAATGTCCTCGTCAGCAGCAAGTTTATTTCTTATTTGAGACCCAAAACTAAGTTCTGGCAAAGATTTTGGCTGAAGAAATCTTGTATTTTCACCCTCAAAACAACCCATGAAGCCATTTTAAAGGTTCAATATCTCCAGAAATAAAACTCCCACAGACATGAGATGTGGTGAAAACTCAGACAGAACAGTTTATATCATATCAGAGTGATTTAATGGAACCAGCAGAGGACACATGTTTAATTACTGGACCTTGAAGACAGAACAAAAGTGCTGAATGTTCAGTCCAGGCTGGTGCTGATCCCCAGAAAGCTCCTCTAAGTGTCTATCTAGGACAGAAAACTGCCCTAAACAACTTAAAATTGTTTAAAATTACTACAAAATTGCCCCCAAATGACTCGTAATTGTCCATATTACCAATAATGTTTAATTTTTGGTTCTTAAAAATTAGAAAAAAGTACCAAATGTTCAATCCAGGCTGGTGTTGATCCCTAGAAAGTTCCTGTGTGTCCAGAGTGACAGTTGATGATCTATTAATGGATGACGGACAAAAAATGGTCCTAAACAACTAAAAACTGCTCAAAACTATCAAAAGTTGGCCTAAAATTACCTAAAGTTTGTCGAAAAGTACTCAAAGTTCTCCAAAATGATGCAAAAATGTCCCAAAATTAGTCCGAAAATGACCTTAATTGTCAAAAAATGAACAGAAAATTATCCAGTTTGTCCTAAACGACTTAAAATTGGTCCTAAATTACTCACATGTGCCCGTATTAACAATAAAGAATAATCATAGGTTCTTCAAAGTTAGGAAGAAAGTCCAAAACCTCCAACCAGGCTGGTGTTGATCCAGAAAGTTCCTGTCAGTGTCTATCTATGGATGGATCCATGGTTCTACTAGAATCCAGTCTCTGGTCACATCTCACCACCTGTTGAGGCTCTAACATCAGCAGAACCTGATGTGGTGAAGTTGGACCAGACAAGGTTCCAGGTTTTAGGTGTTTAGACTACGTGTTGATGTGGATCATTGGTAGGAACCAGAACCTGGAGGTCTCAGGTTCTAGATGTTAGAAGCTGCTTCATGTTGATTCATGTTTACTTTAACAACATGAAGCTTCCTGTTCTTTAACTAAAAGCTGATTGGACGGTTCTGGTGGTCTCACCTGGGTTAGGTCCAGTTTGCGTTCTCCGTCCTCGCTGGAGGTGTCGATGGATTTGACCTCCGACTCCAGTCTGGACGTCTTCTTCACTCCTCCAGATGTTTTCTGCTGCTCGTCTTCTTCTTCCTCGTCGTCGTCTTCGATCTCGATCACGGACAAGCAGCTGTCGAGGCGTTTCCTCGGCGGGAGGCTCAGGTCCAACGGTTTCAAGTCGGTCGCCGCGACGCTCCGGCAGAACTTGAGGTAAGAAGAGAGTTCGGTGGTGAAGAAGTTTTCCGTCTGGGTCGAGGTGTTGGCCGTCGACGGAGGCTTCGAGGAGCAGAAGTTCTTCCTGGAGGGATCCACGACCACCACCGGCTCGTCCAGGAACGGGTTCACCGCCTTCGGCCTCGGCTGCACCACTTTTCCCGTCTTCTGCGGTTGGTCGGTCTTCGGCCTCCAGACGTCCTGCTGCGGATCTCGGGAACTCGTGGTGTTGAGACGTTGGGTGAACAGAGGAGGAGACGACGTGTCTGCGCTGGAGGTTTTGTCGGGCGACGCCCTGAAGGTCTTCTGGGTGATGAACAGGTCCTGGCTGTTGAAGTCGTCGCTGTGGGACTCGTTGTGGAGACTCTCTCTGGGCGTCGACGAGGCGAATTTGGGGCGTTTCGCTGAGACGAGCTTCGGCGACAAACTGAACAGAACCTTCTTTTTCCGTTTGGTTTTCTTCTCGGCGGTTCGATCCGACGCTTTCCCACCGACCTCCGGACCGGATTTCTTCGTCTTCGGCTTCTTCTTCTCTTTGTGTTTTTTCGTTTTCTTCTGGACGCTCGCGCTGGTTTTGGCCGTCGTCTGGTTGTTCTTCTGCTTCTTGTCCTTTTTGGAGCCTTTTTTTCTTTTTCTTTTCTCGGGTGAAAGCCACGACTCCAGGAGGAAGTCCAGGTCCTCAAAGTCACTCATGATTCTGAAGACAGACAAAGTTTTATCATTTATAAATACGTTAAACACAATTCTTCATCCATGTGATCATCATAACTATCATTGGTTAGCTGTCAGCTGTTAAATCAATCAGCAACTAGTCAGTCAGTCTGGACTAGTTTATAATACGTATTATATGCAGATATCACATAATAACATAAAGAAATATCAAAAACCCAAATATTACTGAAGCAGAACCAATGAAATCCTTCATATTAATGCACAAAAGCATCATAAACAATGATGTCACTGCAAATAATGTCAAACATGTGAATATTAATGCAAAAAAAAGTGTAAAAGTCCTGATTATTAATGCAATAAAGTGTAGAAAGAAGACATTTACACACAAATGTATGAAAAAACTGGATATTAATGTAGAAAAGTACCAAAATCCTGGAAATTACTGCAAAAAAGCATCAAAAATGTGGAAAATGCTACAAAAACGTGTCAAAAACCTGGATGTCAATGTAAAAAAAGTGACTAGAATCTGTAAAGTAGTGCACACAGGTGTGGAAAACCTGAATAGAACTGCACCAAAACACAGACAATGTCGATATTATTACACAAAAGCATCAAAAATCTGGAAAATACCACAAAAATGTGTCAAAAACCTGGAAATGACTGCAAAAAAACTGTTTAAATCTGAAATAAATAGTGCTAACACGTGTGGAAAAACCTGCAAAAAATACAGAAAATGTGGAAATTATTACAGAAACGCATCAAAATCTGGAAAACTCTTCAGAAAAAGTGTAAAAATCCTGAATGTTAATGAAAAAAAGTGTGAAAATGAGATATTACTGCACAAAAGTGTAAAAAATGTATGAAAAACTTGATTATTAGTGATTAACGGTGTCACAAACCTGGATGTTAATGCAAAAGAAAAGCGACTAAAATGTGATAAATGTGCTTCAAGTTCTAGGAAATGAAAGGTGGAGCATGAAGCCGGTGCTGGAGGCTCATGAGGAGGTTCTGGTTCTGAACTCAATCTGCAGAAAATCAAACATGAAAAACGAGTTTTATCGATACTTTAAGATTAAAAAGCAATAATTGTGTTTAAAACCTTCTTTCCTGCTGAGCAGCTGTGAGTTAATAACATGAATCAAAGTGAATTACGGAGTTTAAACTGGATTTTTCTTGTTTTTTTTAGTTTTATCGGAACAGAAATCTGATCAAAGCCTGAAGAAGCGACTTGAACGTTTTCTGTCGCAGTTTTTAATTTTGATCTTTTCTCTCCTTTAAATCCTCCTCAGACGCTCCAGTCGTCTCCTCTGGACCCCGTCTCGCTATTTCAGGACATAACTGAACATTTTTTTTTACCTCCGAACCGGATCCAGCGCCGGAACCGAACTTCAAAGAGACCGACGGCGCCGCCAGGGTGCGTTC